CTCCTCTGCTCCCTGCCTTTCCACCTGCTCTGAATGCCACGGTATTTGCATTCCAATAGACTAGAAGCCATCTCCTCCGCAGTCCTCTGAGGTTCCGCCTAGATCCCAGAGTCGTTCAGAACTTGCTGCTCAGAGAGGGGCGTGTGTACGAGCGTGCATGTGCAAACGTTCACGCTTATTTAGCACTCAGCGGGCGGGCCTTGGCTAGCAAGGTCTGTTTTTTGTGTGCACGTGCCTTTGTGGGCCTTGAGCACGACCGCACGCAGTCCTGCGGTAGAGCCTTCCGAAGGCCCGTCTCGTTGGTCGTGTGGCAGGCGAAGGTGGAGAGGGACAGAAGGGAATGGCAGGTCTCATAATGGGGCACTGAGCAGTCCTGGCGTCGCCACCACACCTCCTCTGTGGTCCTTCCGATGCTCCCGGGCCCCTAACCCACACCACACGAGCTAGGAGACAGCGCTCAGCCAGGCCCTGGGCAGTGATCACAAGGGCACCCTAAAGTCTATCGTGGTTACCGTGTGTGGAGGGAGCAGTCTCTCTCCGCCTCTTAATAGCACTGGTTGGCCCCATCGCTAACATGAAAATTAATTACCCTGAGCTTTCAGGGATCCCATGAGCAGCCCGATTAACTAATTAATTTGCGACTATTTCACGTGTCCTCATTCCACATGCACCTTCTTCTCCACAACACTTGGTGCTGAGCACACTTCTGCTCAGGTTCTTCCCCTGGGCAGAAACCCTCCTATGAAATTAAGAACGAACTAGCCATGCCTTCAAGGCCCTGCTTGACACAGGCCTCACTGTGCGGGATGTCTTCCCAGTCTTATCCACTTTCAGGCACAGTTTTTCCACTCAAGGCAAACAGGCCATTTATTGCTTTGGAAATATCTCCTACCGGCACCTCCACCCCAAGCTTTCCTCAGGCCATCCCTCCGTCCAGGAGACGCTGCTCTCCTCCTCTGCCCTCGCTGTGACCTTATCCATTCTTCAAGGAATATTGCAAATACCCTCTTTCTGTGGAACCTTCCCTGACCATCCCCGGGCCGTGCCTGTCCCCTCTACTGAACTGTCTTTGCTCTTTGTGCCTCTGCTACATCTCAGGTCACATTCTGCTCTGTTGTAACTACTTGGGCCCCTAGTATATTCTTTCTCTCTGAATTATAATCTCTGTGGGAACAGAGAGCTGTGTTCTACCCATATCTTTATTCCTGGAACTCCTGGCACTCAGTAGATACTCTGTAAATACGTGTTGAATTGAACTGACACATGGAGCACATTTTTAAGGGCTGATGATTCTTCTAGAGAGAAGGAAGGTCCCTATTACAAAACGCAGATCTCCGGGAGTCCTGACCCCCTGTTTTTAGGAAGGCTCTCAGGGTTGTGTCAGAGGCATAGGTTACCTATCTGAGCACACAGAGTCTCCTCCTGGGAAGATAGCCTTTGCTTCAGACCTCAGGATGCACTGACCTGTCTTTGGGGCCACACCTCTAGTGCCAGAGTCTGGGCTGAAATGGAAGGGGCTTCAGAGATGCAGCTGCCACTCCCCTTGCCTGCACCTCTCTCACCATGAGAGATGAGGTCTCAGGCTTGAAGAAGCTGGCAGGAGCAGGCGGAGGTGTGCTAGGGGCAGTTTGTATCAGCCCAGACAGTCTCAAGAGAGCAGATTGCTAAATTTTCAGGATTTGTGTAAGCCTGTTGTTAAACAAGCCAGTATTAAAAATTAAATTACATAAAGTTACAATTAAAGAAATGTTATTAAAAACAAAGATAATAAGTACTCAAAACTCATCACTTCCTAATTATTTATGCATTTCATTATTGTCTGTGTTCTGGAGGTAATTTTCTTCTATTGTATCTGTATGGTGGAATTATTATATGGTGCTGTGCTGCTCTGAATCTCTTCCCAAATCTCCATTCAGTGATGTCATGTGGATACCTTGGAATCAGCTGTGGTGGGAGTATTTAGAGCACAGATATGAGTGAAAGCTACAAATTAAGACTCCAGAGAGTGGGTTGTTAAACATTTACCGCACACCACTGGGTGTTGCATGTCTATTGAAGGAGACACAGAGGGTGGGTCCACCCTCTTAACAACAGCAAGTGTGGAGTGCACCGATTTTAGGGCCCTGAGGCCCCCGAGATCCAAGCTTAGCTCAGCGGCTGACATAGGCACAGCTGCCATTCCGGACAGATGGAGGGAGGGGCTGGATGCAAGTTCCCCTGCCCTCCCTCCTGGTGAGAGCCGCCAGGCAGGAACTGTGAGCCTCGGGGGCAGTAGTAGTCTGGGCTTAAGTGCACAACAACAGGTCAAGTGTTTGCACTGGGAGCCCAGCGAGGTGAGGGAGACAGGGAGCAAGGGGATGGATGCCACCCAGATCCAACCTACAAGCAGGAGGCACAGAGTCTCACTAAGGCCAGTCTTATCCCTTAAAAAGGCTTTACAATCTCAGGGACTCTGACCCAAGAGGTCTCTGCTCACTGCAGGGATGGTACACAGGCCAGAGAGTGGCAAGATGCCTGAGGGCTGTGCCAATGACAGCAGCAAGGGACCACAGGGAGCACCCTGGCCAGCTAGTCTGGAGACCAGCATCCTGTTTCCCTTGGTACCTACAGTCAGTCCTTGAATGCTGCAGAGATCTAATCAAGGAGAAGAACTAACCATTGGAGACTGGAGAGAACAGGGTGTTGAAATCACAAAGACCCAACAGGGCAACTTGCTAAATGACCTTGACCCAGCTGCTCATTTCTCATCTGGAGTATGGTAAAGGTTTATTTTTAAGTTGGTAAAAGTCCAGAACAGCACCTACCTGGCACATAGTAGGTGCTCATGGAGGGGCAGGGCAGGGCTCACAGTGCTACCGTGGAATGTCAGGAACCTGGTTCCAGCATAGCCCTTCTATCACAAGCTAGGGGCTCTAGCAAGTCCCCTCCAGACCTCAGAGACTGCGTCTGACGGGATGGGCTGGATTACTTAATCCCCTAGGTCCTTAACATCATGAATATTCTCTGCCTCTATGAATAAAACTGGTAAGGGAGATGATATGAGTGTCAGAAGAGACTGGCTATGCTGAAAATCCTGTGATTAATGTTTGAAAAGACACACAAAAATAATAATTATCCAAGTGTGGCAGGGACGCTTGGATTCTTTCATTAAGTTAACAACGTTGCCAGTGAGGTAGCATTTAGAAACATAAGACAATTCAATTCATTCCTCATTGATGGGGATCTTTACGGAGAGCAAACCCCTTCCAGAAAATTCCAGCCAAGAAAGCAGCAAATCCAGGCTCAGCCTTGTTTATGATTCACTTGTTATCACAATTTCTAGATCAATCACAGGACACGTTGCTCCAAGGGAACTGCAAACAAGTAGCATGGATACAGAAGCATCTGAGATGCTTCTGAAACAATCCCCCCCCCACACACACACATATTTAAACAGAGTGGAGGAACCCACTGGGGTGGGTTAAGCTCTAACTGAAGGCTGTGGGGGGCTTAAGGAAAAAATATATCAAGGTATGAAGTCAAACCTCATGACACACACCCAGAATGTGACCTATGTAAACACTATCCAAGGCTGCAAAGACGGATTTAAACTAAATCGTACTGGGAACCCCTCAAAGGCAGCCCCCCCACCTCCACTTTTGTCTTAACACAACATCTGGCACATCCCAAGCGCTCAACCTGTTTTTATCAAACGAATGCCTAAATAAATGAAAGAATTATAGGAGACTGTGACTTGGTAAGTCAGCTTTGTCTGATGGGAACCTAAGTAACTTTTGAGCTCTCCAAGGTCCTGCCCACAAGTAGGCTGAATTAAAACTGCAGCACTAGCCCCTAGGTTACTGCACTACCTCTATGGGCAGAAATGATGTTAATACTACAGCTCCCCAATGTCTTGCTTATCCTGCTTCAAAACAATCCAAACTTAATACAAAATATACCGTGAGGTCTTGTCTTCATTTTGCAGTCTGTTCAGTTTGCAAAGGAGAGCATGTGGGGTTTTTCTGTTTGTTTTTCCGTTTTGTTTTGTTTGTTTGTTTTTTACCCCCAGGAAGACTTGCCTACAGAACTCTCAAGATATTAATTTCATTTTTTTGCTCATTCATTCATTGATTCATTTTTTACAGATGTGCTTCTACTGTGCAGGTTGCTTCTCAGAATCCAGCCCCTGCCCTCAATGCTCGTGTTCCACAAGGAGAGGTAAGAAGATCTTACTCCCCAGAAGAGGAGGTTGGGAGTGGAAATCTCAAGACACTTCGGGAGAAAGGGCAGGAAGGAAACAATCAGACTTGCGTCTTGGATGTTTGGAGTTGGAAAACATTCAGAGGGAAAAAAAATGGTAGGTTTGACTCTGCATCTGAAAATGCTAATGGCAAAGCAGCTCGGGGGCCTGGGAAGCTTTCGAAGCCAGCATTCTGTGGGAGAACCGAAGGCAAGCCCCGGGGTAGAGCACGCTGCTGAACATTGCTGCCTGTCCTGTCTTGCCAGATTCTTCGAGCCTCGTCCCCAGGCGCCCACCCAGTTTCCTTTACTTCTTCAAACGACAAACACTAATGCTGCGCGAATCCTGGGTACCCTACACTGTGCTGAGGACCGAAGAACCTACTCCCTTCTCGGTGACTCCACACCTTCTCGCTCCTGCCTGGGTGTCTCCGAACTCCACCTCCGCACGGTGTCTGTCTCCTCCCCCTTACCCAGCCCCCATCCACTGGAGGTTACGTTATCCCTGGCTGGGTGTATTCTTCACTCACTAGGGACCAACTTTTTTACCAAGGGAGATCTGGAGAGCCCCCTCCAGCACCCAGCCACTGCCTGTTCTGAGGGCGCAAATCCTAGGAAAATCACCGAGCTAGGTGAAAAATTGGCACCTCGGGTTCCTTCAAACCCCAAAGGCTCAGGGGCGGAATTTCGAGGACCCAGGAGGGTTCTTGAGAAAGGGGAAGGGAGGGGGCGCCCCAGGGGCCCCGACAGGCAGGTTCAGCCTGGGGGTGCGGCGGTCTTACCCGGGCATGAGGGCAGGGGGCACGTAGGCGGCATTGAACTCGGTCAGTAGGGTGCCCGCGCTGCGGGAGGCCATGGTGGGTGCGGCGAGCGCGCAGCGAGCCCTGCGTTCTGGCGCTCCCCGCGGGATGGTCAACAGCCCGGGTCACCAGGCAACCGCGAGCCTGGCGACGCCAATGGAGCCGCCCAGCCGCCGCGTTCTGGGGCCCTGCGCCCCCCTCGCAGTCCGCTTCCTGGAGCAGCCTGCTGGAGTGCTCTCCTGGGGGACCCCCTCCCGCCCCCGCCACCGCAAACCGCCGCCTCCACCTAAGCTCAGCTTTCACATTTAGAAATAGGCTGATCTCTAGGCTCTGCTGCGGGGCGTCCTGTCGCTCAGATGCGGGATGGAGTGAAAACTCGGTGGGAGGCTGGGTGGGATGCGCCCTTGGCCTTCTGTCAGCTGCAGGACTCGAGGTGGCCCGGCTTGAAACGCCCTCGCTTTGGCAGCGAGGCATAAAGCAGCAGCTTCATCAAGGCTCAGCTGCGATAGCCTGAATGGGGCCCCAGGAGTCATCGCTCCCCGATGCTGCCCGCTGAGCCCCAGTTCCGCAAGAGGATAGTTTTTCACTAATCTCCCTTCTCTCCCTGGGACTTCTCACCTTGTCTTGCCCCAAAACTACTCCTTGAGAGTGGTTTATAAGTAAGGGGCAAATGTAGATAGTGAAAATGTCAGGGCGTATGATTTATATTTGTCCCCAATTCCGCAGTTTAGTCCCACCTAAATCTACAGGGTTGGTGTGTTTGCCCCAAGCGCAAACCTTGGGAAGGTCCCAGTGAGGGTTCCTTTGTAATAATGCCTCCATCCTATAACTGCTTGGTACCCTACATTCGGATTTCTCCAGTGACCCTCACACAAGCTCTGGGCTATGTGTGGGCTAGGGCAGGACCTTAGGCCTTTAACTGGGGGGTGAAGATGTGGTGACAGCCTCCAAAGCGCCATGCTGTTTGTGACTCGGATCCAGACCTTCCTTCTCAACAACCCTAGAAGAGTCCTGGTACCCCCCAAAAACAGCCTGCAGTTTACCCTTGTCCTTCACAGTCTCATTTCTCTGTCAGATGAGAAGTATTATTCTTCACAGTTTGACTCTAAATGGCAGCTGGTGAAGACTACAGACACTAATGAGCTCACGGGCTGCAGTTGCAACCAGAATTCTCAAAAGGCTTTCTCTGACAGATAATGATGGAATCGAGAGGAGCCACGGGCTTCCGTGAGGCTCAAGAAGCAGCAAAATCGAGGCCTGGGGAGGAAAAAGAACTGAAGGGGAACGAACGTGTGGTTGCAACAAACGAGGTGGAAAGAATCCTCCCCTGTCCTTCAAAATGCAGTCATAGCTGTATATTTCTAAACCCTCTGTGCTGAGAATGGGCTACAATAATAAAAACATTTGTAAAAGCTGTAAAAGAACAACCCTCAGTTCAAGCGTGCCATACTCTGGGAAGGCGTTTCTCATGACCTCCCGCCTCCCGGATAAGGCTGAGTGCCCACTCTGTCCCCCCCTTCATGGCTTCTGACCCATCACACTGCGTCTCCTGGTCTGTGTTTTAGTCCCCCCACCTCTGGCTGCTTGAGGTCCGAGAAAGCAGGGTGGGATAGGGGTGTTTCGTGCAGAGCAAAAAATAAGAGCTAGGCTGCAGCTGGCTCTGCAAAGCCTCCAACTCAGAGAATCACAAGCCCCAGGGTCGCTTGCCCTGTGAGCCCTCCTGGGAAGTGTTGCTGGAAGAAAGAAGCGGGCAGCTCTCCTTTGCTCCTTGGAGATTCTGCCACCAACATCCTATAGCAGCTGCTCCAGCCTGTCTCGCCATCCCCAGCCTTTTTCATCCCCAGGTCCTAGCATGGCTAAGTCAGCACCTTGGACCTCAAGCATTGTCCTTAGTAGAACATAAGCTTCTGAAGCATTCACAGTCACGCATCTCCAGTCATGCTCGGCCTGGCTTCTGAGCTCCCCTCCTACAGCACCTCCACCCTCCCAGGTCCAGTGATCCCGAGGCAGCAGGGCAGAACCCAGCCTCTTGGGGGTAAATCTCTGTGAGCGCAGATAGGGAAATACATTCCCTTTTTCTCTTAGGGCTCTCGTTTCTGAGGGACTGGCCACCAGGCACAACCTGGATGTTATCTGGTAGACGCTGATTTTCCAGCTGGGGGACCCTGGGTTAGGATTTCTACATGGCATAGTGTGACCCATCCAGAGCAGCCAAGCCTGACCCATTCAAGTCTTGTGGGCACCAGCAGTCCTGGTGGCCAACTTGACTATGGGGGGGGGCGGCATGCATCACCCAGAAACACCAGTGTAACAGTTCAGTATCCTGTGCACACAGATCATTGAAGTTCCTTCTTTCCCATGGGAGGGGTTGCTCCCAGCCACAGGTCCACCCCTTTCCGCACTCATGCCCACTCCTACCTGCCCACTCCTGTGGCAGAAGAGCTCCCCTAACAGGGTGAGGGGGAGCCCTGCTGAGAGGTGGGCAGGCAGCTGTGCTCCAGGAGCTAGAAGACACCTGAAGCTGGGCAGGGCTTTATCTGGGAGCAGGCGGCTGCTGAATAATGGATTCTGACTCTATGTCTGCACTCCCAGGCTGCACGCTGGGTACACAACCACACACACACACACACACACACACACACACACACACACACACACGGATACGCGCTGGGCTGATAACTCGGAGGGGTGGGAGCTGGCAGGGCTGTGAGTCTCTGTGAGTCGCTGGAAGAAGCAGCTCCACTCGGTTGCCTTGGTCTCTGTGGGCAGCATCGGAGGGGGCTCAGAAGGAGGAGGCAGCAGCAGAGAGGAGGGAGGCGTGTGAGCCACATTGCTGGGCTCGCTCGTTCCCAGCTGCTCCTGCCTGGCAGTGCCCAGGCTCTCCACATCAGCATGGCCCTGCTCGTCCACCTCAAGACGGTCTCGGAGCTGCGGGGCAGGGGTGACCGGATCGCCAAAGTGACTTTCCGAGGTAGGGAAGCCCCTGTCTTAGGGGGACCCCAGCTCTGGGATTAGGGCAGGGCAAGGAAAATGGATGGGAAAAGTTCTAGCTGGGCTGGAGCAAAGAGGCTTTTCACGGACAGCCATCTGCCCCTGGCCTGACTGGCCATTGTGATTTTTTGAAAATCAGGGACCCCCATGTTCCATGTCCACATCACCATCTCTTCCTGCATTTGCCAATGTGCCAGTGCCCAGGTGCAGTGCAGAGCCCTGTGCCTGCAAGGGGTTCTGGGGAGGCAGAAGTGAGGACCCACCCTGGGCTCAGGGGGACCCAGGGCTAAGGGGCCCAGCCCTTTGGAACCTCCTTGGGCCCTCGCCCTCTTTTCCTCTCCCTCCCAAAGGTTGGTTTCCTTGGGCACGGGGCAGGGATGGGATCTGCAGCCTGGAAGTCTCAGGGCGGCTCTTAGAAACCAGGCAGCCAGTAGCTCTCTAGGCCCCATCATGATGGAGATACTGTGGGCTCCCCGTAGATCTATCTTGGGCAGGGATCCTGAACCCACTAGTCTCCCTTCTGTCAGGTCTCTGCCTGCCCTCCTTCCCACTTATGCATCCAGTGACCATTTACTATGATCTATGTTCCAAGGCTGGGCGCTGAGCATGACCCATGCTCTGCCCTCAAGGAGCCCATATCCGCTGGGGTAGGAGGACCAATAGGCAGACAATTACTACAGGTGTGTGCGGGGACAAGTGCAGCATGCAGACTACAGAAGCAGCATCCTGACCCAGGCTAGTGGTCAGGGAAGGCTTCCAGGAAGAGGTGATACCTCAGCTGAAACCCAAGGGACCAGCAAGAGGGAGCAAGGCGAGGAGGTGAAGACAGAACAGGCAGAAGGGGCAGGATGCCCAAGTCTGGAAAAGGAGCTGAAATGCGGGAACACAGAAGTTCCATGAGGCAGGAGCCCAGACTGGGTGCAGACACTGAGGTGGTAGAGACAGGCAGAGCCAAGGAGGCACGTCTGCCTTTACCCACAGGAGGTGGGCTGCCCCCGAAGGCCAGACCAGGTTTACCTCTGCTTTTTACTCACCTCTGCCTCTTCCTCACCACAGCCCAGCCCTCTGGGCAAGGGGCATCTCAGGCAACCTTTGACCAAAGGCCAGAGTACCCTCTAGACATGGCCTTTTCACCCCACAGATGGGTCTGAGGGTGGGGTGGGGATGGGAGAGTTGGGGAGGAGCTGGGAGAACAAAGTAAGTATCGGGGCCCTGGCCAGACACATGCCCGCCTCTGCGTCAGGAAGGAGAGGTGAGGCCATGGTGCAGCCTTCCCTAGGACTTCTAGCAGCAACTCTGGGCACCACGTCACCCCCTCAGCTGCCAGCTCTGAGCAGGAGGCCCTGGGTGGTCTACACTGTGGCCTGTTGTGCATAGGGACAACAGCAGTCGGGGGTTGCTGTGTCCCTGCCGGCCGTGGGGACAGGAGGGGGAGGTAGGCTGCCTGTTGCTTTCCACACCAGCCCGATGACTGCTTTCTCTGAAGCACCCTGGATCCTCCGCATGCCACCTGTCGGCTCAGCTGGCTTTAGAAAAAGCAAGTGTGTCCTTTCATCTGTGAAATGTGTCCTTGTGTTGGACAGACAGCATAGTATTTGGTTGTTTAGCAACAGGTCGCTATGTTTCTGCATCTGTGACAGGACAGTCCCGGACTGCACAAACCAGCCCATTTGCAGGCAGAAAAACCAAGGTCAGTCATAAAGAGATCTGCATGGCAGCAGTGGAGGGGCTGAGGCACGATGGCTCCAGCTCACAGGACCTCGCCCTGGCGGCTCAGTCCCCTCAAGCCCCTTTATCTCCTCCTGGTCAGCTGGGGCGAATGCCCCGCCTACCTAACGCCCACCGTTTCCTTTGAGCCGTGGGGCTTTCCCTCCAACCTCAAATGACCACATGAGGATTAGTCTCTTTGCAACCTGTGTCCTCTGGATTGAATGGAGAAACCCACTTCCAAGCTCTGTGTCTGCACAGGTGGCCACAGGCAGAGCCCAGGGAAGGGCGCTGGGCAGATGGCAAGCAATTTTCCAGAAAAACTCCTTTATAACAACCAGAGAAGCCTCAGCCATTC